AATTCATTATTTTTAAAAATATAAATGTAAAAGGGCTGAAGATGTAGCTCACTGCAAAGGCCCTGGGTTCAATCCTCATCACTGAGAAGAAAAAAAGTTCTTTGGCCGAAGATACCATACTTCAAAATTTCAGAATATACATATACTAAAGTCATATTTAAAAATTGATTAAAATTTAATAACTATATTGTCATACCTCACATTATATTTCATCTTATACAAAATGCTTTGCAAAACTCCAGCGCAATTACCAGGCATCATGGAACATGCTTGTAATCTCAGCATTTGGGAAGCTGAGACAGGAGACCATAGTAAGTTTGAGGTCTGCCTGGGCTACAGAGTGAGTTCAAGGTCAGCCTGAACTATATACAGAGCGAGACTCTGTCTCAACAACACCAAAAATAAAATAAAATAAAATAAAATAAAATAATCACTACACTTTTTAAAAGGAAAAATGGAGAGAAATTGGGGGTTGACCATCAATAAGTGCTCTACTAATCTGTCCATTATTCTCTCTTCCCTTATCTCCCTTAAGAGTTTGGGAATGAGGGGAAGAAAAAGTGTCATAGGAGTTATTTCCTTCCCCCGAGCAAAATAAAGTGGTGAGAAGTACTGAAGTTGCATTTAAGGAATTAGGGGATGTCCCCTGGGTCCCAAAGGAAGAAATAAGAATGAGTGGGTTTCTGGACTATGCATGGGGAGTATGACAAAGATGAGATGTCCTAGGAGGAGTGCCTGTGAATGACAAAGGAAAGGGAGCAGGAGTTGGCAAGAACATCTCAAGAACAAGAGGAGGTCTGATACCTAGGAAAGAACAGAAGGAAGGAGGAGGGAGTAGGAAATCTCCAACTGCTACACAGTTTTCAGAAAATCTTGGATGGGTTGATGGGGCATCTTCTGGCAAAAGGTGCCCAAAAGAGGAGTCCCAAATGAGCTGGAAACAGGGTGGCACTACTATCTGGAATGCTCAGACACTGGCTGGGAAGAGTGTAGCATAAGCAGGCCCTGCAGCAAAGGGTATGACAGATGCAAAAGGTGGCAGCTGGGGCTGTTAGCTGACCATGCTCCTCAGAGTAAGTTCTTTTTTTGGAGATCAAAGTGACAGTTTCTTTGGCTGCCACAGAGCCATTTAAAGTTCTATTAAAAAATAAATATTTGGTCATTGTCTCTGGCCTGTCACAGTAAGATATCTTTTGTATGTTAATGATTTCTCATGGTGAGGGTCCCTAGAAAGCTTAAGATGGGGTCTGGTTACCAAGAAAACCAACTATGTGATTAAAAGTTTAAAACTTTCAGTTCCACCTTAATTTTTATTTAGGAGAGCGGAACTAGAGTTCAATCACCAATGGCCAATGATAATGAGGCTCTATAAAACCTCTTGAACCACCACAGGTGGTGAACAGGTCAAGCACAGCAGCTCTCTGCACATTGCCCCTCACTTTGCCCTACAATTCTTATCCTGTGTATCTCTTCTACTTGTCTGTTCCCCAACTGCATCCTTTATCATAAAAACTAACTGTAAGGATAGAGGTTTCTGTGAGCTCTGTGATTTGTTCTAGTGAATTATCAAATTTAGGGGAGGGAAGAAGTGGGAAACCCCCAAATTTATAGTCTTCTGAGTGGATTGCAGTGGGTGGGGAGCCCATCTGTAGTGGATTCTGAAGTCTGGATTGGGAGCAGTCTTGTGGGACTGAGCTTTAATTTGAGAGGTCTGAATTAACTCTTGGTAGTGTCAGAATTGGATGGAAGTATAGGACAATTGATCCCAGTGCCACATAGTTGGTGTTGAAATGACATATATAGCATCAGAAACACGTGTACATTTTCCTTGTTCATTTCCATACATCTTCTCATTTTCCTGTAGGTAATAGCTCAAACATCATTTCTTAGAAAAGGTTTTCTGGCTTTCCTTTAGAGTACACATAAAGATTTACTGTGTAATCACTGCATCCATTAGTCAGTAAGCTCAGTAAGCTTCTTCTTTGAATAGTTATTTGCTCCTATGTTTTAAATTAATTATCCACAGCTAGGGATCTTCTCTTACAGGGGTGGGAAGACTGAGTTAGTGTGTATAATACACTATTATGCAGTGAACACTATACAACTATTTGCTATTATTGCTCATCTTTGAGTCTCTACACTACTCCACATAAAGTAGGCCACAAATGTGTTAAGGCAAACTGAATTTGTATATAAATTATGTTAAAGCTAACTGTATAGTAAAATTCTACATTATGGGTTCATTTTCATATCTTTTTATTTCCTTCAAAAAGCATCAAACTGAAAGCCTGCATCATGTATGGTTTTAGACAAGTATCTGAAAGAAATGAACCTTATACTGTATTACTACATAAGCCAGAGCCTATCATCCACAATTGGATAAAACCAAGTTAAAAACTATGCCATTATATTATAGCTATCTTGATGGGATGTTAGTAAAAGATATTTATAAACAAGTAAAATATTAAATGGGAAGGTAAAGGATTGCCTTGGACTATAAATACGGATAAGCTTTTTTTCTCTTTAAATCTGTAACAAAGATAAGATAAAATCACCAGGTAAAAATAACTGGAAAATCCAATGTGAATTACTAAATACTAGAACCATCAAGAACTCAGCTTTGTCTGACAGCATGAGAGTTCCTCAGGATCACTGATTTAAAGATACTGCCAAAGATTTTTACTAGCATATTTTGGTTATAGGTGAGTAGGTGTTTTAAATCAGTGTGTTTTTTCAAGGCTCAAACACACAATTTAAGGGTGACAGCATAATATTTGGTCAATAAAAGTTTGTTAAATAAAGTCAAGGCTATCAGCTTTCAACATTTACTGGATATTTACTTTGAGGTTGGTATTATCTTAAGTAATAGTGAAACTGAGACATAAAGTGGCTGTGTATCTCATTCAGATAGCAAAGACAGAAACAGCAAATTCAGAACTTGAACCTAAGTTCACTTATCAAAGCCCATGCTCCTAATCCCCACACTGGGGCTGCCCAAATGAATTAGCAGAGGGAAGCACACAAAACAAGGTTAAATCGCAATGCTTTAATACATAAATAAGTTTATGCTGTGAATAAACAAATGAAGCTTCGATATTAAAGCATGTAACTTTATCTTCCCTTTCTTTTTAATTTCCCATCAGAAAATGCTCCTAATTTCTCTCTCCAAAATAGTCTTAATTTTTTGCTGTTGATTTTAATGAGAGGTTGTCACTCAACCATTCTCCTTGCTTTCCCACTTCCATTAAATGAAACAAGTAAAAAGGTAACTGTAAGTGGAGATATAAGGAGAATTCAGAGTAGTCCAGAGCAAGATCTTGGGTGTAAAGCACATAAAATGTAATGTATCATATAATCCTCTGTTTATTGCAACTGATTCATATGAAAAAAGAAAAAAATCTGATAAATAACTAAAAAGTGAATTCTAGGAAGTTCTCTACTGGTTATTTGCAAACCTTAAAATACTCTGCAATGAGGTTTTCAGGATACTGAGGTACAGATAACTAATCAGAAAACTACCTGCCCCCTCCTTTGTGTGTGTTTGTGTGTATGGTTCTGGACATTGAACCAGGGCTTTGCCACTGAGCTATGCCCCCAGATCTTTTTTAATATATGTATTTTTAAATTTTGAGACAGAGTCTACATGAATAAGCTGCCGTGGCTAGGCTTGAACTTGTGATCCTTCTACTCAGCATCCCAGAGTGCTGAGAATACAGGTGTGTACCACCATGCCCTACTAACCATTGCCCCTGTCTGAGCAATTGGTCCAGCAAGATTCTGGAGTAATTATAATCAAATAAGAAAACAGAGAGATGCAACTGGCAATGCTTACCAGATGATGCAAGCATACATATAATTTGTTATATCTGAATGGATGCTTTTAAATACAAAAGTCACATAAATGATTTTATCATTAACCACTTGTGGACAGGAGACTATGTCCATGACCTCTGTTATTAAATGCTGCAGTTTCTAGATACATTAGATACACGTAGGCTACTTGAGCTTCTATTGTGGCAAAATGCCAATTTTTCTGAGGCGAGAAATGCAGCATTTGCTATTGGATTTCCAAATCATCCACCCTATCTAACAGTAAGTGTAAACAGAATAATACTAAGGGCTTGATACTTTCAAAAGTGGAAGGATGAAAGAAACTCTACTGTTTGTTGGTCATAGGTTATATACTGTTTCTTAGCAACCAGCATTTGTCTTTCCTGTGACAAAGAAGTCACTGAAAAGAGGGAAACTGGACAACTCCAATACACCAACAGCATTTCAAAGGCAGAAAGGAATGTCTATACAAACCATAGTGTTGAATGAAAGCAGCTCATTCCTTGGGTGGAAAGAGCACCTCATGGACACTGCATAATAGAGGTGTCCAGGATACCAACTGCAGTCCCTGAAGCAAAGACCAAGAGTAAATGCCACCTACCTGTTCCCGCTTAAGGCACATTTCAACCCTGAGCTGCTTAGTCCCCCCTCTCTCGGCCCCACTCCTCTGGTCCCAAGAGGCCAGTTTACTGGAAGTCTGGATGGGATATAAGCTTGCTCCTCAAGGTAACATCTGGATTCTCTCTTTACCCCATATCACATTCCTTCTTGCCCCTGCCTTGGTGTCTAATGTGGTAATTCTACTTAAGACTCCAATTTTTTAAAACAATAATGAAAACCTTATGTTCATTCTATAGTTGGATTATAAATTCTGGAGATTCCTGGAAAATTAGTAAGAAGCCCAGGCGATTTGTATGCATGCCCATCTTTCAATCCTGCAACCAGGGAGGAGAATCAGTAATGTCTTTGAAAGGAATGGGACCTTGGATATTTAGTACAGAACCCCAAACTGACAGGTTCAAGGTATGGATGATTTGTTTAGGCAAATATTTCATTCTCTCAAAAACCTGCTGTTGGGCGCCTGCGGTTTCAAACTCCAAACACCAAGTAGATGCCTGTATGTTTGGGGAAGGGGTCCCAACCCCCAGGACAGGTTGTTAAACACTCACCTCCTCCGGTGGGGGGCCCGCAGGCTCGCCCGCGCAGGGCCCTGGGGGGCTGCCTCCAAACCCTGTCTCTGACTTCGCAGCGAGCCCAGTTCCCCGCCCCGCGCACCCGGGTTCCGGGGAGCCTGAGAGGGGCCCGGCTGGGAGCCCACAACTGTACTGCGGGTGTACATGGTCAAGACCCAGCAGGTCCCAGGACGCTTCGCGAGTCTCGAGGGGAGATCCTAAAGAGCAGCGGCAGCGGTTTTAACAGCTGAGTTTCGATTTCTCCCTAGCAAATTGTGCCCGCCCCCAGAGAACTTCCCGTCCTGAATCCCAAGACGCTCTCTGACCTTACCGCAGGTTAACAGCGCTGCCAGCTCCCACCAGCCGGCTGGGAGGTGGAGCTACCTCCAGCTGCCTCGCCCAGCCCAGCCACAGGTGAGTTGGTGTAAGGCCTCACGACCACCCTCAGGGATGTTAAGGGTAATTATGATCAACTACAGTTGTCCTGTGAACGAGAAGTCGCAAATGACTAGAATCCTAAACATACTTAAGGAACTGTTTAAGATATCCTTAATTTGAAGTTACCATTGGATGTTTGAGGCCTTGAGGAATATTGCTTAAGGTGCCAGAGATTCGGTCAGTAATTTAAATCAACTAAATAAAATATTGCCCTTTATTAGTAATGACTGGCTGCTTGAGTGCTGCAATGCAGAGGAAATGGAAAGTGAAATCAAAAGAAAAAAGAAACACAAAGCTGAAGAAGCAAGCTGAGGACTAGGTAGAGCTGATTCTCTAGGTAGTTTTGCTAAGTAACTGGTCATTCAAAAATATCCACATTTTTAAAATGTTCCCGGATGATTTTGATGTGTGGGGAGCTGCTATCTCTATAAAGATGCAAAAGCTTTTCCTGTATTCTAGGAAACAAGTAAACAAATGGTAACCCCACCATGGGGTAAATATGACAGGTTGCCCATAGGCTAGCTGCTAGTGGTATACAGAGAACTAGGGATTGGCCCTCTGACTGATTCAGAGGAAAGGGGACATTTGAGAATGAGCCCCAAAGACATGGAAGTTCATCAGGAAGAGGGAGACACTATGGCGGGGACTTGTGGCTTACAAGGACTCGTTGTATACCTAATTTAAAATCCTGTGATTGAAGCTTGCCAGCCCCAGTCAAACAGCCACTTAGGAGGAGTACTGTCTTGCTTTATTATTAGTGCTTAGAACCAAAAGAAAAACACATATTTAATAGTTAATCAAAGAATGAAGCCAGGTGTGGTGGCACGGGCCTGTAGTTCTAGCACTTAGCAGGCTAAAGCAGAAGGATTGCTGCCAATGCAAGGCCAGCTGGGACCACGTAGTGAGACCCTGTCTCAAAAAAACAAAGAATGAAATGGGAGGTTGGCAAGTGTGTGAGATAAGACAATGAGGGAGAAGATAGTGGCAAGAAACATGATCAGAATGGAATCAGGGTTTCCATGCCACCACCCTAAGATGTTAGAGCTCTATCTGTCCATGGGATCTCAAATTTCACTGAGCAACTGAACCACCTGGTGTGTGAGTTGTAACCCTTGAGTATCTGGTTGAATAGAAATGGAGTGGAGCCCAAGAATTTGAACAGTGGACCCTCAAGTTACGACTGGCCTGACATGCAAACAACTTGGGCTAATTAGGTTAATGGGAGATTCATCTGCCTTTTGTTATCTATAGCATGTACCCAGGTAAACATCGAGATTTCAGCTGTGTTTACTTACAACCAACTTGAGTTACAACCAGCCTTTGGGAACCGACTGAGTTTGTAAGTCAACAAGTATTTTCAACAATTTTCCAATTGATACCAATGCTACTGGGCCTGGGATCACTTTTTTGGAAACCCTGCTATAGGCAATGTGGAAGGCAATGAAGTAATATCTGCTTGAGAATGTTAGCTCCTAGCAATGTGAAAGGGAGATTAACAGATGAAGAAACTGAATGATGGGGAGACCCACTAAGAGCCTAGTATAATGTAGGCAAGAGATACAGATCTGAGCTAAGGCAATTGCATGGGAAACAGAAAGCAAGGGGCAAATTCAAGACCTTCCAAATGAAAGATTAACTCAGAAAATGAGATGCAAGGGAGAGTTGAGCTCAAGTGGAGGCAGCTTTTACAATACTCTGAGAACAGCTATGCTCAAAGTGGCCTCACAATCAAGGGCAAGTCTCTTAATTCTCCAGAGGCCCAGTGTGGGGAGCTGGGGATGTAGCTCAACACTCCTTGGATTCAATCCCCAGTAACACACACACACACATACAAGAATAGGTTGTCTACTTGTGTAGATATTCTTTCGCCTTACATGTGCAAATTTCTGTGAGAATTATGGGCTGGCTTTTTATCAAGGTTGCTCTGTGGTACGTGCACCTCCACAAAAATGGCTGGTAGAGGGAAGCAATGCTGAGTTGGGAGAGTTTGGAGTCTTTCTCCCTACATTAACTGACTCCTTAGACCCTTCATTGTACACACTGGGCTGCTGCCTAATTTTGTTTGATGCAAGAGTTCCATGGCTTTTAAAGTTTGATAAACCACTATGCTAGACAAATTACTTAGGAATGTGTTTTAAGGGACAAAAAAAAGATCTGAAATCTAGTGAGATTGTTATAGTGCCTAAAATTTGACCAATTAGACATTCATTGAGGAAATGGTTTATTTTTAGAACATTTCTGCCTCTGGAAAATAACCATTTATTCATTCCTAAAAGTAAATAACTTTAATCTGAACAAATGATTTTTTTGGTTTGGGAGAGAGAAAGCCCAACAAAAAGAGAATTCTAAAAGTTATTCAAAGGAAAATGTTATAAAGTGAGGCATTGTTGAGGAGTCAAAATTCAGGAATGAAATAAGCAATTTTAGCTAGCCCAATGAGTTTTAAAAGATAAGATCAAATAAAAAAGAACTTTCATCAATTAATTCTACTGATAACATGTCCACATGTCTTTGCCTTCCTAGAAAATAAATGGAAATACATATTTTACCTGAAATTCCTTTCGATTGCTCCTCATTAGTGTGTATGAATATGCATAGATATAGATATATGAACTCTAGCCTTGTCATGAAATGTCTCAATGAAAAATCTTAGTTTCTGAAAATTCTAAAAAAGTCATGTTTCCTTAAATATGATTCTTAATTGGGAAGTTAGATAAGCCTGTACATTTAGGACAGAGGTTATCCTAAAGGGTCTTTTTCCCCTTTTAATGAAAAGGTTATGCAAAACACATCTAATGCTTAGTATCTCATTTTCTGTGTTTGTATTTTGACAATTTCAAATTCTTTTAGAAATTCTTGTACTGTTGAAGGTGAAATACTGCAATTATAAGTTACTATAAATCCATGCAAAGAATATTTATTGAAAGATAAATATTTGCCACTCACTGTGTCAGACCCTGGAGCTACTGTGGTGAACAGATGAAACTTTGTTAGTGTGGCTTCATGTTCAAGATCATCTGACTATTTCATTTCAACATGAAAAAACAAACTTGAAGAAGCCAAGTGACTTCCCAAGTCTTGTTCAAATTAGTGGCAGAAATAGAACTTGAAAATAGGACTTCCAAAACCAAGTCTAGCTTTTACATTTTGAGATACAGTTGTGACAAATACAATCTTTTTACAAAATTAAGAATTTGAAAATTTTTTATAATTTTTCAATGGCCAGCTGTATGTTATATTCCAAAACTAAAACAGTTGTGTCAAAGTTTCTAAATCTGTCAGAATTGACATTAATAAAAACCTTAACCCTCAAGCATTCACTCCTGTCATAAGATCAAATGATCTCTACAATAACAATATTTTATACAACTTCTTAAAACTTCATGAATGGCATAGGGTTGTAAGTCAGGGTTTGGCAAGGGAATAGATTTAAAACAGGACACATAATTTATAGGATTTTATAATATCCAAAAAAGTCAAATGCAGAGGAGTATAAAAGATCTATCCATCAGAGACCCGAAAGATCAAGCCAAAGACTTGGATCCCACAGCAATGTCCTGCGCAAGTGCCCTGAAGGCCTAGAGCCCAAGGCAATGTCCTCCATGAGTCCAGCCAGAGGCCTAGAGCCCACAGCAGTATCTCATGCAAGTCCATATGGATGAGCTGCACTGGGAAGGCCCAAAGGCCAGTGATGGAAGCTAGAAAGCCTGCGCTGGTGGGGTCAAGGATTTATGCCACCAGGCTGAGAGATTTACACTTGAGCCAGGAAGCAACGCTGAAAGCGAAGATCAGGGCTCCTTTGATGAGAACAGCAGCCATTCCCAGTGGCAAGGCCCCAAGCTCCTCCAATGAAAACAGCCAAGTTTGCATCAGGAAAACTAGCCACAGAAAGCTTCTCCAAGAAAATCAACAGCACATGATCATCCCCTCCAGTTCTCTCTTTATGCCATTGGCAACAACCTTCAGGTGTGTCATCCACACCCAGACCACTCTGATTCAGTTCAGCTGGGCATTCCAAGTTGACCATTAGTTAAGCCACCACACACAGGTACTAAGTTTGGGTTAAAATGCATTTTCTTTAACAGCCAAAATAGGGAGCTTTATAATATACAAAGAATTCTACTTAAGAATGGAAAGATATGTATTTGTTCCCTCTTTTTCAGATGACAATACTATCACTGCAGGAAATGAGGACTGTAGGAAAGTTCTTTAAATGCTATTTTCTGTCCTCTGTTAGGTGGCTGAATTTCCTTATTTGTAAATTCAGATCTGAAGAATAGATAGCAGCTGCCATTTCTGGGTTCTCACACAGTCTACTTTAGTAGTAGTCACAGTATTTCTGCTGGCTGCAGTGATGGAAGAAATTTCCCTTAAGTTTGGGGAAACTTCTGTAAAGTCTGTCAGCAACACTGGCAGGGAGATTCCCTGAAGGAATTCTTTAACTGTGATAAATGAATCAAATTGAAACCTCCAGAGAACTTCCCATTTTCACCTGATACCTGTGCCTTTTCCAAAAATACCCTTTCCTAGGGCACTCATTGTTCTGATGCTTTAACGCTAAACCAAAAGTTTGGTAATTGTCACAGTCCTTTGTAAATGCAACCAGGTATGTCAGAGAATATGCAGCACAGCAAAAAGAACAGTAGACAAAAACACAGAAGACAAAAACTTAAGAGCTGGCAAAGACATTCAAAACTTTTGTGACACCAGGTAGTCACTGAACTTTCTGAACTTTGATTTTTTCATTTGTAGGATGGAAATATTAATCATAATAATCCTACCTGTCCTACCTACCTTTTAGGAGTTTGTGAGGGATAAGTGAGATAATATATGAAAGCGGCTCATAAGTGGCACCTTGGTGCAGTTTAAATAGAAATTAT